TTGCTTATTCTGGACATTTTATATAAATGAAGTCATATAATATGTGGTGTTTTGTGTCTGGGTTCTTTCACTTGAGATACATTTTTGAGGTTCATCTAAATTGTAGCATGTATTGGCACCTAATTCCTTTTTGTGACTGAATAATATTCCATTGTATGGATGGGTATATCACATTGATGGACATTTGGGTTGTTTCCATCTTTGGGTGTTATGAAAAATGCTGTATGAACATTTTGTATAAGTTTTTGTTTAAACATGTTTTCATTTCTCTTTGGTATATGCTCAGGAATGGAGTTGCTGGAATGGTAACTCTATTTAGCTTTTTGAGGAACTGTCAAAATGTTTTCCCTAGTGATGGTGCCATTTTACATTCCCACCATAATATACAAGGTTTCTAATTTTTCTAGCCTCACCTATACTTGTTATTTTCCATTTTAAAAATTATAGCCATCCTAGCGTGTGAAGATGTATCTCCTTGTGGTTTTGATTTGTATTTCCCTAATGACTAATAATGTTGAGCATCATTTCATGTACTTATTGGCCATTTGCATAAATCCTTTGGAAAAATGTCTGTTCAACTCTTTGACCATTTAAAAAATGTCTTTTCATCATAAGAGTTCTTTATATGTTCTGAACACTAGACCCTTATCAGATACATGATTTATAAATATTTTCTTCCATTCTCTCTAGGTTGCCTTTTCACTTTTTCGATCATGTCCTTTGATGCTCAAAAGTTTAAAATTTTGATGTCCAGTTTATATATATTTTTTTTGTTGCTGATGCTTGTAGTGTCTTATTTCAGAGTCTGTTTCCAAATCTGGTGTCATGAAGATTTATCCATTTTCTTCGAAGAGTTTTATGGTTTTAGTTGATATTTTTAGATCATTGATCTTTTTTAAATTCATTTTTTAAAAATATGTTTTTATTGATTTTTTTAGAGAGAGAGAAAGAAAAAGGGAAGGAGATAGAGAAACATGGATGTGAGAGAGAAACAGATAAGCTACCTCCCACACGCGTCCCAACTGGGGATCGAACCTGCAACCTGGGTAGGTGCTCTGACCAATAATACACTGGTGACCTTTCAATGCACAGGATGACACTCAACCAACTGAGCCACACTGGCCAGGACTTGAATTCATTTTTATGTATGTTGTGAGGTAGTGGTCCAGATGTATTATTTTGCATGTGTGTATCTACTTGTTTTAGCACCATTCAATAAAAATATGTTGCTTTTTCATCGAATGGTCTTGGCACCCTTGTCAAAAATCAATTGATCATTGATACATGAGTTTATTCCTGGACTCTCAGTTCTTTTCTGTGGTGTAAATGTCTGTCCGTATGCCAATTCAACACTGTTTTGATCACTGTAGCTTTGTAGGAGTTTTACAGTCAGGAAGTGTTAAGTGTTCTAACTTTGTTCTTTTTCAAGCTTATCATGTTAACTCTTTGAGAAGTCCTTTACTAAAGAAAGTGGTTTGGATTTAATCCTCTGTTTCTCACATGCTTATGGTGATGAAATTACTTAATTGTATGATAGCTAATACTATCCCATGGGACTAATGTTTATTGTGATACATGTTTTGAAAAAGGTGTAAGCGGGTATCAAGGGAATATTTTCTTTGATTTATCTTAATATTTCAACAATTAAGTAGTAATTGATTGATTTAAAGTTCTGCCTTCCCATTTACTTTTTCTGTTTAGGTATGAGTGATTTAATTCATTCTAATGATCTTTTGTCAACATATAATTTTGTTGGGTAAATAATGATACCAGCACCAAACGTCCTCATTAACCTTAATACCTTTGCTTTTGTTGTTGTTTAAAAGAACTTTTCAATATGGAAAATTAAAATCATACATGAAAGTAGAGAGAATACTATAATGAACCCCATGTAACTGTTACTCAGCTTCAACATTTATCAACAGTTGGCCAATATTATTTTATGAATACCAACCCCTTCATAACCTCTAGCTCGATTATTTTAAAGCAAATTCAGACATCATATAATTTCGCACATGAACACTTAACTATGTATTTTAAAAAGTTTGGAGTTTAAAAAATACCAATTATTATCATACCTAAAAAAGTAATAATACCTTAGTATTATCATATGTCTGAATGTCCTCATTTTCAGTTTTTCTGAGTGTCTTTTGAGTCTTCAAACTAAGCTATGAATATTTATTGGTTTCATCTTTTATTGGTATGCCTGTTATTTCAAAATATTTTAGTAGTGATATAAATATCAGATTTTACCTTTAAATATTTTACCTTTTACCAGTTTATGCTGTACTAACTTAAATATCATTTTATCCTTTTGGATTTAAATTATCTTTAGACCCAAGAGGATCATACTCAGACTTACTGCTTTATCTGGCCTCTGGAGAAATGCCTTTTCTAGTGTAATAACTTGTTAAGAATTATTGAGAGAATTGCAAAATCTAAATAAAGCAAAAAATTCAGTGTAAAAAATGTTTTGTGACTTTCGTGTGTGTGTACCACAGCGTGATTAAATTTCCCAGCCATTTGTAGCAAGTAGTGTCTAGAAAGGCCTCTAGAGAAGAAGGGATATTTGTGTTTATTCTTTGTACTTATATAGACATTATGTAAATATGCTTTGCTCAAAGAAAAATGTTGTCATTTCGTACTTACTCATGGACTGCTTGATAAGTTTGTGGATTATCCAGTTTTTATTCATTCCTTGTTGTAATCCATCATTATCTCTATAAACAAAAGAAATGGTGGGAGAAAAGCAGAAAAATCAAATTAATCAAGTTGAGTATTTAAAGAAACTTTTCAACTTATGCTAAATACTAGTGTTTATAATGAATACAAAGATATTTCTTGCTCAGATTTTATCTAGGAAAGGAAATCAAGTTAGTATGCCTTTTTCCATCACTATTGAATTATCTGCATTTGACAGGTGGACTTTCTATATTTAACAAGTAGGACTGGCTTTTCTTTGCTACTGTGTCATCCTGAGATGTGTGCAGGAAGATATTCCCATGGGCTAGCCCCTAATAGGCTTTTGGTTATGACCAGTTCCCTCTTTGGGACTAGGAATCTAGTTCTTCCCTCCCAGGGTTACAATTTCTCCACAAAATGGCATTCAGAAATAAAGTCCTTCAGTTCTGCTTCTGGCTAGAAGCCGACTCATGCCTGAAACACTGATCAATTAGACTTCATCATAATGAAAACTTTTGCTCTGTGATAACAGTGTTAAGAGAATGTAAAGACAAGCTATAGATGGGACTATATATTTACAAATCATCAATGAATGCCTTACCTCCAGATTATAATATAAACTCTCAAGAAATCAAATGATACAATTAAAAACAGGGAAGATTTGAGCAAACACTTCACCAGAGATGATACTCATTTGGCAAATACATACATGAAAACACGCTGAATGTCATTAATCATTAGGCAAATGCAAACTGAAACTGAAATGACATATCATTACATGCTTATTTGAATGTCTAATCCCTCCCACCCCCAAAACAAAAGACACACACACAAAATGACCATGTCAGATGTTGGTGAGGATGTATAAAAGTGGAAACAATTTGAAAAACAGTTTGGCACATTCATCAAACATTAAACATATACTACCATTTGACCCGTCATTGTACCCTTCACTATTTACCCCAGAAAAATTTAAGTGTCTGTCCATGCAAATGCTCATAACAGTTTGATTTGTAACAGTTTGATTTGTAACTAGAAACAACACAAATGTCCATTATCAAGTGAACAGATACACCATTTGTGGTGTATCAGTGCAGTGGAACACTTTTGCAGTAAAAGGGAATGAGCAGTCACATGGAATAATCTTAAAATAATTATGCTGGGAGAAGGAAGCCAAATAATAAAGAGTACACACTGTATGACTCAAATTGTATAAAATTCCAGAAAATATAAACTGAGCTATAGTGACAAAGAGTAGGTCAGTTATTACTTCAAGATAGGTGTGGGGTGGTGAGCTTGATGAAGGAATTACCAAGGGGCACAAGGAATCTTCAAGGGGTAATGGAAATATTTCTTGTCTTGATCATGGCAGTGATTTTGAGGTATCTGTATGTGCCAGAACTTATATTGTATACTTTCAATGTGTAGTTTATTGTATGTAAATTATATTTTAATAAAAAAGAAATCAAGCTCTGGGACGTTTTTCCTGAGCAGCATGATTAAAACAATTTTTTTTTTCTTTATTGATTTTAGAGAGAGAGAGGGAGAGAGAGACAGAAACATCGATGAGAGAGAACATCGACTGGCAGCCTCCTGCATGCCCCCAACTGGGGATCGGGCACACAACCTGGGCATTGTCTTGACTGGGAATCTAACTGGCAACCTCTTGGTGCATGGGTCGATGGCTCAGCCACTGAGCCACACCAGGTGGGCAAGCAGCATAATTAAAAAAAAATGTTTTTATTTATTTTTTAGAGAGAGAGGAAAGGAGAGATAAACATTGATCGGCTGCATGCCCCTCACTGGGGATCAAGCCTGCAACCTGGGCATGTGCCCCAATTGGGAATTGAACCAGGACCTTTCAGTCCATGGACAATGCTCAATCCACTGAGCCACACCAGCTAGGCAATGACATTTTTTTATCCTCACCCGAGGACAATTTTGCACTTATCTTCAGATAGAGTGGGAAGGAGAGAGGGAGGAAGAGAAACACTGACGTGAGAGAGACACATCAACTGGTTGCCACCCACATGACCCCAGCTGGGGCTGGAGACAAACTGCAACCTAGGTATGTGCCCTTAGCGGGAACCTGAACCATGACTCTCTGGTCCTTGGGCTGATGCTCTAACCGCTAAGCCAAACTGGCCAGGGCCAGGCAATGATTTTTTTTTTTTTAACAAGACTTTTACAGTCCTGCAAGGTAAAAAAAAAAATGCCATGATAATCTAAAGTGTTAATTACAATTCTAGACTATAGTCATCCATATCCACTTTAAGTACCAATGTTTTATTTAAAACAAACTTTTAATTTATTTTCAGGCAACTACTCTCAGAGTGAGGAAATTAGAAGAAAATATTGAAGCAGAAAGAGCAGCACATTTGGAATCAAAATTTAATTCTGAAATTATTCAGGTAAAATATAAACAGATTTTTTTGTATGGATTCTACTAAGCTGGGAAAAACAGCGTTATGTTCAAAGAGACAAGGTGTGCATTTAGAATGGGTAGCATATTGTTAAGACATTCAGTATCTTATTTAATAAGGATATAGTTGAGGATAGTCTTTACTGTATTAGAGGAAGAGTTGGCACTGTTCAACCCACAGGCCAGATTTCTGCCTGTTCTTGGGAATTTTTATCTTGTCTACTTTTATGCTACAGTGGCGAAGTGGAGTAGTTGCGACAGACACCTCATGGCCTGCAGAGTCCAAAATATTTCTCATCTGGCCCAGAAAGATTTGCTGATAAAAGTGTTTTTTTATTTATTTTATTTTTTTATTATCAATAGCCATGAGATGAATTTATTTTGAAAACATTAAAAAAATAGGCAACTTTGCCCAGCTGGTGTGGCTCAGAGAGGTCCCGGTTCGATTCCCAGTCACGGCACATGCCTGGGTTGCAAGCTCCATGCCTAGTGGGGGTCATGCAGGAGGCAGCTGGTCACTATTTCTTTCTCTCCATGTTCGATCTCTCTCTCTCAAAAATCAATAAAAACATATTTTTTAAAAAAAGGCAAAATTAAGTTTTTCACTGTACTTGCATGACTGGGAGTAGTTAATAGATCTAAAAATGAAAATTATTAAATGTATTTTTAAATTATATAGTTAAAATTAATATTTGATAGCTCTGACCAGTTTGGCTCAGCGATTAGAGCATCAGCCTATGGACCAGAGAGTCCCAGGTTCAGTTCCCGCTAAGGGCACTGACCTTGGTTGCAGTTTGTCCCCAGCCCCGGTTGGGGTCGTGTGGGTGGCAACCAGTTGATGTATCTCTCTCACATCAATGTTTCTCTCTCTCGTTCCCCCTTCTCTCCTGCCCGCTCTATCTGAAGATTAATGCAAAAATGTGCTCAGAGGAGGATAAAAAAAATTAATATTTGATATGCTATGACTTAGGAAAAAAGCGAAAGTTTATATTTGAACCTTATATCTATAAATATTGACAAGTATTTTCAGTTAGGTACACATAGTAAAATTTAGTTCAAACTAGTTTAAAAACAAACAAAACTATCAAATAATTGTAATTAATCACCATTTTATCATAAACTAATTGAATATAGGTTTGAAGTATTCTGTTATTAAATTTGTTTGGATACTGTGTCATAAAATTGAGAAATTGCTAATCAGAATTGCTAATTTAAAGTAAACGTTTTCCCAGTTGCATTGGTTTATTATTTGTGATTGAGTGTGCTTATTTTGTGAAAGAAGAAAGCAATGTAGTCTGAAGAAAATGTTTCCTATGTTTATTTTACTTGTAAACATTGGATTTAGACAAAACAGCAAAAAACAAAATTTTAAAAGACCAAGTTTGAAAGTTTACAATGCTGTATTACGTATTCATTCTACTTCCTTACTTTAGTGTAAATATTAATGTTTCAGTTATTCCATATTGCATTTGCATAATTAGAAGTAAGATTTCTTTTAAAAAAATTTTTTTATTCCTCAGCCAAGGACATTCTTCCATTTTTTGTTCAGGTAGAGTGGGAGGGGGAGAGAGGAAGAGAGAGAGAGAGAAACATTGATGTGAAAGGGACACATCGAGTGGCTGCCTCCTACACAACCAACCAGGGCCGGGGACAAACTGCAACTGAGGTATGTGCCCTTAGTGGGAACCGAACCTGGGTCTCTCTGGACCGCAGGCTGACACTTTAACTACTGAGCCAAACTGGCCAGGGCAAAATAAGATTTCCTTTTTTTTTTATCCTCACCCGAGGACATTTTTCCATTTTTTGTACAGACAGAGTGGGAGGGAGAGAGAGGAAGAGAGAGAGAGAGAAACATCGATGTGAAAGGGACACATCCAGTGGCTGCCACCCGCACGACCAACCAGGGCCGGGGACAAACTGCAACCAAGGTACATGCCCTTAGCGGGAACCGAACCCAGGTCTCTCCGGACCGCAGGCAGGCGCTCTAACCGCTGAGCCAAACCGGCCAGGGCTGAAATAAGATTTCTTGTGATTAATATTTATATAGATTAATTTATGAACCATTTTCATATTGTCCTAGGCTTCATTTCTCCGTGAGCTCACCTTCCCTAACTCAGGTTGTCTTTTGCCGTCACTGGGAGACTTGTCCCATGCAGAGGTCATGGCTTTTCTCAGATTTCATGGCTCCTTGTGCGCATCTCTGTTAGAGAGCTCCTACAACATGCTCTTGTGGTGTGTTCCCTCCTAAAGACTATGAACTCCTCAACAGCTAAGACTGCATCTTTTCATGATTATTATATATATCTTGAGTACTAGCACATTGCCTGGTACCTGTTAAGTGCTTAAAAATATTTATCTAAACATTAAATATGATATATTTATATTTAATATTAAATACATTAATATTAAATAAATATTATCTCATTAGATCTTTGTAGCAACTCTGTAAAGTGGATAGTTTGTATATTGTTGTTGTTGTTATTATTACTATTGTTTACTGTTTACAAGTGAGAAACCTCAGGTTTCTGGAATTTTTGTTTTATGCCCAAGGGATTCAAACCTGAGTCTTACAGTTCTCTAGCCCATTATCTTTTTAGTGTGAAACATTTTTTTCTACCCCTTTCTTTTTTTGAACTTTAGCAAAGTATTTTTTAATTTAATTTTCTGAAAAGGTAAAATATCCCCATGGTTCAAAAGTGAAAACAACAGTAAACAACTGAGAACTCTTGCTTTTACTCACCTTCCCATTACTCTCTACTCCTGCCTGCTACTTACTCTTATTTTTTTTTATTTGTTTATCTGAAATATAGTATGCTGTATACTATGATCTGGACTTTGCTCTTTTCAATATATATTAACACTGTATAGAGAACTTCATTTTTAAAAGTTGTTTTGCTTTCTTTTTATAGCTAAGTAATCTTTTGTGGGAATGTACTTTATTGTTGGTGTAGATAGGGAATATAATTTTTAAAATATTATATTATGTAAAATTTCAAGTATATGCACAAATAGAATAGTAAGCTGAACCCCTCACGTACCCATCACTTAGCTTTAGGATTTACCTTATGGCCAATCATGTTTTATCCGTTACCCTCCCCACTCTTCCACCCTCAGATTATTTGAAGCAAATCCAAGATATCATATTACCATGCCCATAAATATTTCAGTCAAATAGTACTACTTGATAAGAAAAACTTCACTTTTATAGTAAGAAATCTTCAGGAATAAAAAGATGTGTTAACTTTCTTAGGCTTATAGAGATGTAATGATGTTTCTCATAAGAGATGAAGAATAATTCCCTTTAGTTTTAAAAAACCACTTAATTTATTATGTTTTGGAAAGATGTGTCCAAATGGAATAGGGGGTCAAAATTAGGCACTTGCATGGGACAGGTTATATCATATCCAGCCTATCCTTTCCTTAGCACAGTTAACTCTATTCTTCCACTCTTCCTTCCTTCCATTAAACATGTTGAGAAAGCCCCGGCCGATGTGGTCCACCTGATTGGGCATCATCCCACACACTGGAAAGTTGCTAGTTCGATTCCTAAACAGGGCACATGCCTGGGTTGCACACTCCATCCCCAGGAGGGGGTGTGCAGGAGGCAGCCAATCAATGTTTCGCTCTCACATCAATGTTTCTATCTCTTTCCCTCTCCCTTTCAGTGAAAAAATCTTTATAAAACAAAAACTAGAAAAACAAGTTGAGAAGGGAATAAACTGTCTTTTGTTTACTTCCCTTTTTTAACCAAAGCAGAAAGAAAGAAAGGTTGGGATGAATGATAATCTGCTTTTGACAAAGTATTCTACTCAATTTGAAATTGAAGCTACTAACATTTCCTTACTTGCTTTAATTACTTCTCTGTCATCTGGTAGTTGCGGATTCGAGACCTTGAAGGAGCTTTGCAAGTAGAAAAAGCCAGCCAAGCAGAAGCTGTTGCTGATTTGGAAATAATCAAGAATGAATTCAAAGAGGTTGAAAGTGCGTATGAGCGAGAAAAGCATAATGCACAAGAGAGCTTTGCAAAACTAAGCTTGTAAGTGTTTTACTGTAAAATTCTCTAAATCAATATAAAGAGTTTGTGAAACCTATATAAGTGTGAATGTTTAGTATTTCAGATATAGCTCCCATTAATGTTAGTGGCAAATTGGAGGTGAAGGACTTTATAAACTATAACTATGCTTCCCTGTATAGGTAAATATGGAAATGCTCTTTTGGATTTATAAGTATCATGGCTATTCCAAGTAGTCTCAGAAATGCAGTTCTTACTAGAAAGTAAATATATTAATGTATTTTATTTACATCTGTTGAGGTAATACAGTATTGTTAAAGACCTTGATTTCTAGACCACCTAAAATGATCTGTGTAGAGATGGATGTTTGAGATTTTCTCAAATTATAGAAATAACAGTAGGAGAAATACTGCTACTAGTGGCTAGCATGCATTGTGGCTCACTTCATGGCTAGCACTGCATAGTTTTCTTTAATTTATGCAACACTTTAATAGGTAGCTACTTTTTTTTACCTCCCTTTTAAAGATTTGGAAATTGAGGTTTAACGAGGGTAAGGACACACAACTAATAAGTGGCAGACCATGATCTTTCTAACTGCTACTGATTTTAACCTTTTCCAATCCAAAAGACTTTTATCTGGAGCATTCTGTGGGATGCTTTAAGAAATTTGTAATTTTAGCCCAACCAGGTGGCTCAATTGGTTGAGTGTAGACCTATGCACCAAAAGGTCGCCAGTTTGATTCCCGGTCAGGGCACATGCCCAGGTTGTGAGCTTGGTCCCAGTGGGGGGCATGCAGGAGGCGACCAGTTGATGTTCTCTCTCATTGATGTTTCTATATTTCTCTCCCTCTCCCTTCCTCTCTCTCTAGAAATCAATTAAGAAAAAGAATTAAAAAAAGAAATTTGTAATTTTTAAAATATGTTCCACCCTAAAATCAATAGTAAACATTTTAAATCATTTTCCCATCATTGATATGGACATGATAATAGGTTGGTAATTAGAGTTACGTATTTATTTTTAATGTTTGTTTCTATTTATGACAAATAGTTCATAGTTTCCCATTTATAGTAGTAATATAAAGATTCCTTTTATAATACTTTATATAACTTAAGAAGTGAGTTAAAGAAACATTCTGTGAATGTTCCTCTAAGGATTTATTTTCCTTTGAACCATTGTTTGATTGTGCACATTTGTATATCAATATGTTTGAAGAACATGGTGCAGGCTTCTTTACTGTTGCTTCGATTAGGACCTACATGTGAAACTGTTAGAAGTCAGATTGTACTCCCAGCAATTAAAGCTTTCAAACAATGAAAGGCTTCTTTGGAGTACTAGTGAGCCTTGGGAAGTTCAAAATAGAGGGTGGATGATTCTCTGACATGGATGTTGAGGAAGAACTGAGTCTTAAAAAGACTAGACTAGAGAAATTTTCAGATATCTTCTAACAACCTAAGTACTTTTCTGTTGAACCCCAAAGCAATTTTTCCTCCTTAAGTTTGTTTTGCTATTATTTGTGTTTTGGTGCCTGAACAACTTTACTCTAATTTTGTATTCCAATAAGCACCAACTAACAATTCTAAGTATTAGCTACATAGTCCAATTAAACACCAGTTAACAATCCTGAATATATTGGCTGCCTTTTGCATGTCCCCCACTGGGGATCGGGCCCACAACCTGTACATGTGCCCTGACCAGGAATCGAACTGGTGACCTCTTAGTGCGTGGGTCGATGCTCTGCCACTGAGCCACACCAGCCTGGCACAATCCTAAATATTTTAACAAAATGTCCTCTGTTTGTTCTTCATTCATATATAATAATGCACTAATAATAAAAGTTGATAATAATAAACAATTAAAATTAAATAATAATTAAACCCCATTACTTATTGATAGTTCCTGTGACTTCTTTTTCCCCCCGTCCCATCTTCCTTTTCCTTGTATATGATATGACAGCTGCTTCCATTTCAATTATCTGTGGTATTAGAAAGAATGGTATGCCCTGGCTGGTTTGGCTCAGCAGTTAGAGCATCGGCCTGCGGTCCTGAGAGACCTGGGTTTGGTTCCCGCTGAGGGCTCGTACCTCGGTTGCAGTTTGTCCCCGGCCCTGGTCGGTTGTGCGGGTGGCAGCCACTCGATGTGTTCCTTTCACATCGATGTTTCTCTCTCTCTCTCTGTTCCTCTCTCTCCCTCCCACTCTACCTGAACAAAAAATGGAAAAATGTCCTCGGGTGAGGATAAAAAAAAAAAGAAAGAAAGAATGGTATGACAGGAGAGACGATTGGATAAGTTATTTCATTTTCTACCTTTACTTCTGACTCTTTCTTAAAAAATATTAAAAAACCTTTCAGAGCCACAATTCCTTAAGTATTAAGTATTAAGAAATAGTTCTAAGATTTGCATAATGTACTCCAAAAGAAGACTTGATATATTTTGGGTCTTTAGGGTAAATCATACCTTTAATTTACAACTTTGAGAGTGGAAAGTTTTGGAATAGGGCATTACTTTCCCTGGTGGCTAGAACTGATTTAGCAATTGACGATGATGAGGTTATAGAGAAAATGCTGCCTGAACCTTGCTTGCCGTGGTTAAGATTCTTAAGCTTCTGTTTCTTTCCAGGTAGATCTAGGCAGGATCTCATTAAAAGTCAGGAGAAAAAAAGCTGTGTGTGTATTTTGGAGCTATAATTTTGGTCAACATTTTTGTAACAATGAATATCCCTGCATGCAAATGTTTTAGCTGGAAAGTATACATGTATATTAGATGGAATAGGTTTAAAGAGCCTAGCTAAGAATTTGATAATAGGCTATTTTAACAAATATGTATTATATATAATTTAAGACAGAATATATATATATTCTATATTTTTGTAATAAAATGTTCTCATAATTTTTTTTCCATTTAAAACTTACAGTATGAAACTAAAGCTTTTCAATAAGTTTATTTTAGAGGTTTTAATATATCACGTCTTCATTCACTGTGGTAACAGACTGCTGAGCAATGGTAGGGAGAAGACCATGTTAATCCTTAAATGTAGTTTAAATTTAAATATAATTTAAAATAGCATTAGTCAAATATATAATACTGAGTAGATTGAATCTAAATTTGCTTATTTCATTCCACTCAATTTAGGGACTTTACATTTTTTCTAAATATATTACCCAAAGTATAAAAATAACAAAAATATTATAATTTAGTAGCATCATTATTTACTTTCTTGGCAAATGATAGCCCAAAGATGGCTGTTTGTTAAAAAATGCCTGTTACTATTGTTACATTCTTAACTGAACTTAAAAAAATATAAATAAATAAGTGAATGAGAATCTTCCTACCTTCTGCCTTCTCTCTTTTTTTTTTCTTTTCTTGCCTAAATCCTCCATCTTTCAAGTCCTGACTTGTCTCTACTGGAATTCCAAGAGAAAGGGGCTCCATTAATCTTTATTATACTCCTGTGCTATCATTCCTTATGAGTGGGACTGTTGGCATAAGCATAGGAACCAACTTCTTTGGATTGTGCATGAGATTCGTGACAGCAAGGGGTTGGTCCCCATTTCAGAGGACTTGGTTTGGATTTAATTTATAAAATAGCAGTAGCATTTACTTTTATATTTGCTAAGTAACAATAATTTTAAATTAAAAATTTGATTTTTAAAGAATTAACACTTGTGCATAGTCTAAAAAGCAAAATAGTACTAAATTCATGAAAAAAATAGCTATTTCGTCCAGCTGGTGTGGCTCAGTGATTGAGCATCGACCCTGCACTAAGAGGTTGCCAGTTTGATTCCCGATCAGGACACATGCCCAGGTTGTGGGCCCAATCCCCAGTGGGGGGCATGCAGGAGGTGGCCAATCAATGTTCTCTCTCATCGATGTTTCTATCCCTCTCTCCCTCTCACTTCCTCTCTCTCTAAAATCAATAAAGGAAAAAAAAAGGCAGTTTCACACGTATGGCTCTCTAGTACCAGTTTTCACTTGTTTGAGGTGATCACTTTTTTTTTTTACCTTTATTTTTATTGTTGACACTTACAGATGTCCCCATCCCCCTTCCTGACCACTTTGCCCACCTCCACACAGCCCTGTCCCCCTTCCCCTCAGGCCATCACCTTACTATTGTCTGTGTCTATGGGTTATGCCTGTATGTTCTCTGGCTAATCTCTTCTTTCATCCAGTCTCCACCCCTCTGTACCCCCTCCCCTCTGACAACTGTCAGTCTGTTCCATGTATCCATGCCTCTGATTGTATTTTGTCAGTTTATTTGGCTCATTAGATTCCTTATATAAGTGAGATCATATGGTATTTGTCTTTGACTGGCTTATTTCATTTAGCATAATACTCTCCAGGTCCCTCCATGCTGTTGCAAAAGGTAAGCGTTCCTTTTTTATGGCTATGTAGTATTCCACTGTGTAAATATACCACAGCTTTTTTATCCACTCATCTACTGATAGGCACTTGAGCTGTTTCCAGATCTTGGCTATTGTAAATAGTGCTGCTATGAGCATAGGGGGGCATATATTTTTTCTGATTAGTGTTTCAGGATTCTTAGGATATATGCCCAAAAGTGAGGTTGCTGGGTCAAAAGGCAAATCCATTTTTAAACTTTTGAGGAAGCTCCATACTGTTTTCCATGGTGGCTGCACCAGTTTGCATTCCTAACAGTACACTAAGTTTCCCTTTTCTCCACATCCTCGCCAGCACTTGTTGTTTGTGATTTATTGATGGCAGCCATTCTGGCAGGTGTGAGGTGATATCTCATTGTGGTTTTAATTTGCATTTCTTTGATGATTAGTGACATTGAGCATTTTTTTCATATGTCTATTGGCCATCTGTATGTCCTGTTTGGAGAAGTATCTATTCAGGTCCTTTGCCCATTTTTCATTTTAATTAATTAATTAATTAATTATTGTTAATCCTCACCTGAGAATATTTTTCCATTGATTTTTAGAAAGAGTAGGGAAAAAGAAGGGAGGGATGGAGGGAGAGAGAAACATCTATGTGAGAGAGACACATTGATTGGTTGCCTTCCACATGACCCCAGCCAGGGCTGAGTATTGAACCTGCAACCAGGTATGTATCCTTGACTGAGAAGTGAACCCATGGCTCTTCAGTCTGTGGGCCGATGCTCTAACCACTGAGCAGACTGGCTGGGGCTTGCCCATTTTTAAATTGGATCGTTTGCCTTTTTGGTGTTGAGTTGTATAAGCTTTTTTATATATTTTGGAAATTAACTTCTTTTCAAATATATCATTGTTAAATATGTTCTCTCATACAGTGGTTTCTCTTTTCATTTTGTTGATGGTTTCCTTTGCTCTAAAGAAGCTTTAAGTTTGATGTAATCCCATTGGTTTATTTTTTTCCTTTGTTTCCCTTGCCCTAGGAGATATATCAGTAAAAAGAAAATCAATCATTTTTAATTCTTATTGATATTTCTTCTGGTATTTAACTTCATATTTTTAAATAACATTCTGCCCCCCCCCCCCTTTATTTGGTTAATCCTCACCTGAGGAGATTTTTTTTCTTTTTCTAAATCCTCACCTGAGGGTATTTTTCCATTGATTTAAAAAAATATATATAGAGAGAGAGTGGAAGGGAGGGAAGGTGGGAGAGAGAAACATTGGTATGAGAGAGACACCTTGGATTGCCTCTTGCACGTGCTCTGATGGAGGCTGGGGATCAAACCTGCAACCCAGTTACGTGCCCTTGACCAGGAATCAAACTCCAAACCCTTCGGTTTGTGGGCCGATACCCTCTGTCCACTGAACCACACCAGTCAGAGAAATGTTTTTATTTCCAACTTTAGATATTACTAATGGCCTTTACTTATTTATCCATTGTACCTTTCTTCCACACAGCAGACACTTATTCATTCCCTCCTGCCATCCTTTAATAGTATTATACTTTTGGGTATTTTTTTTTCTATATACTTTTATGTGTAACTCATCTTTATTTTATTTATTGTTATTATTACTATTATTATTACTTAATCTTCACCTGAGGATATGTTTTTATTGGTTTTGAGAGAGAGAAAGGGAGAGAGAAACATCAATTTGAGAGAGAAACATCAATTGGTTGGTTGTCTCTTGTACATGCCCTGACTGAGGATCGAACCTGTAATCTGTGTATATGTCCTAACTGAGAATCAAACCTACAGCCCTTGGTTGCACAGGACGATGCTCTAGCACTTGGGGCCACACCTGCCAGGGCATCTTTTTTTTTTTTAATAGCAAATTTTATTACATTCCATTTTGTGTATTGTCTGTCTGCTTATGTTGAAAGGAACTTGGTTTAGTTCATTACTGTCTCCCAATCAGTGCCTAGAATAGTACCTGGCACATAATTGCTGTTAAAGATTTGCTTAATCATCAAATGAATCAACAACTAATAATTGTCTCTTTTTAAATTGGATTAGTTTATGTGTACCAATCACTAAGTTATTCTTTTTTTTTTTTTTAATCCTCACCCGAGGACATTTTTGCATTTATCTTCAGATAGAACAGGAGGGAGAGAGAGAGGAAGAGGAAGAGAGAGAGAAAGAAACATCGAGTGGCTGCCACCCACACGACCCCAACCAGGGCCGGGGACAAACTGCAACCAAGGTACATGCCCTTAGCGGGAACTGAACCCGGGTCTCTCTGGTCCGCAGGCCGATGCTCTAACCGCTGAGCCAAACTGTCCAGGGCCACTAAGTTATTCTTAAACTCACCAACGGAACTGAAAATCTCTCTCTATGTTCCTGCACCTCAGAAATTCTGTCGTATTTACGTTTTCTCTAAGAGATATCCCTCCTGGACAAATTGCTTTTTGGCTCCCTTTTCATAGCCATCCAGGGACTTTCCTTCTCTATCATCCTTGGAATTCCCTCTACTTTTTTTCTATGTTGGATCTCTTCTTTGCTGATTTTGTGCCTTCTTCCTTGTTTGATTTACTCTCTCTTGAGAAATTACACATTAGAGGAAAATTTTAAAACTGACATTCTGAAAATGTCTTTTTTATCTTTACCTTCTTTCATAGTTTATATGGCTGTTTATTCAGTATTAGTGTCAAGAATTCTGAAGTTATTTCGTGAATTACAACAAATTTTAAACTAAAATAATTCCAAGCTACTTTTCACCATATATCCATACATATGAACATTTATTATAAACAGTTTAATGTCAGCCTGAGAAAAATTTGAATAGGAAGGCAAATCCTTTGAAAAGAAATTCATGTGTTTTCACAGTAACTATGAATGATAGTTGATTTTTCTGGCTTTGGATTTTCCATGCCACCATACTAGTTCCACTTTCATGGACCCTAAGGAATCAAGCATTGGCTCCATTTCTAATGTTAAACTCACTTGAAAATTATTTGATAGGACTGTTGAGTCTTGAGGAAGTTTCTGAGCTAATTGAACTGTGGTTTTGTTCATCAAAAATAATAGTGAGATCAAATAAACAGTAAATGTATCTTGCTTATGAAATTGGGCATAGTGCAAATATCGGCTAACGAAAGTGGGGAGGTATTATTCATTTAGAGTCTTTCATTTAAGAATGTGCAACCCTTTTTATTTGAAAAAAATGAGAGGTGACCTATTAAAGCCTTTTGTCTTGAAAACATGATATATGGTTCTGCTGCCACTTGTTTTAAAGATGTGTAATAGGACTTAATAAAAGCATATTTGAAAAACTTGCTCTGACATTTTAACTTTTCAGATTAGAAAGAGAGTATTTCTCCAAAAACAAGAAACTAACTGAAGAGATTGAGGAACAGAAGAAAGTAATTGCAGACCTTTCAAAGAGACTCCAGTATAATGAAAAAAGTTGCAGTGAATTACAGGAAGAACTTGTAATGGTAAGGGTAAAAAAATCCATGGCAATTATTTTATTGGGTCAAATTTGATGTTTAACAAGGTTTTTTTTTCTCACTACATGCTGTGAGATAATAGTATGAAAGTAATTTTAATGACACTGATCTAAAATTTCAAAATTAGAGATGCTGATTACAACTAAGAAGCACATAATAAAATCTTTCTTCTTTGGAATTATTGGGAAAACAAATTGAATTTGTGAAAACTCTGAATAATAGAATGCTTTAAAATTTATTCAGTGGTTTTTACTTTTCATTTATTTTTAGGTGCATAAAACAATGTTTCCTATGTGGACGGGGATCAGGGCTTATAATGAGTAGGTCTAATGATTTAAAAGTCCCCTTTTTGTAATGATTTTGTACCTGATCACTTTGTTTCCATTCCATAATAAACTAGCTTTCACACCATCACCAAATTTATCTTTCTAAAATATTGATTTGTTCTTGTCACCCTTTATTTGGAAACCATCAATGTCTCCCTGTTGCTTTCAGAAATAAAATCCAGCTTGTCTAAGGCCCTTTTTTTCTTTTGACTCTGTGTTAACTTTTCCAGCTTCTTCCTTTGCCATTGCCTTACTTCAGACACAGTAGAGTACTTTCAGCTTCCTAGACACATTGTGTATTATCATATCTTCTTTGTTTTGTTCAGGTTGTCATTTCTTTGACACACATTGACTAAAATGCTCCTTCTCTTCTTTTCTATTTACAAATTCCTGTATATCCTGTAACAACTTGCTCTGATAACCTTGTAAGCTGTGATGCTTTCCATGATTCCATCTTTTCCTACTTTATTGTCCACCTAAAGTCAGAACTCTGCCCCTTCCCTACTTTGTATTTCTTTAGTACTTTAGCATCTTTATCATAACACTCACCCAAGTTGGATGTGTATTATCTGTCCTAAAAATTGTGACTGCATTGAGGTTAACTTAATTCATCTTATGTGCCAAGTTTACACCATAGTACTTGCTTCAAGAAACATCTGTTTGGTGGGTTTATTTGGTTGATGCAACATACTCCTACTCTGCAGTTTGCTGGGACCCTAACAGGGGGGCATAAGGTCTGTAGTAATACCCCATTTCCTCTCTGTCTTACTCCCCACATACATACCTTCTTCAGGGACTTGGCTACTTCAGTTTCAATTGTATCCCACAACTCTTAGTGATACCAGTTATTGAGGGAAGTATTTTTTCTCCCTGTTAAAAAACTTTGGGTTATACTAAGAAATGGTGACTGAATTAATACTTCCAGATAGAAAGGAAATGTTGGGATAAAATTGCAACTCTCTGTCATTTTTAAATGATCCAGTTTTATATACATTCTCCATTCAACTCAAGATAGTCAATGTGTTCTGATTCAGGGATTGATATTGTTTCCTCTGTGGTTGAATTTGTTGTTGAAGTACTTTGGATATTTTAGAAAGTGTAGCACTCTCTGTGTAGCATAATGTGGTGTCTGTTCACTGTTAGGTGCTACCCTAAACTTTATGGGCTATTTCATCTCTTAACTCCTGATTCAGGAGGGTGAACCAGTGGTGGGTGAAAACATGTCAGAGTCATTGAGCTGATTCTTGGATTTGGTCTGCTTGCTTATTAGACAATGTATCAATAGTTTGGAAAGTGAGCCAGAGTTATAACTGAGAATGTAACAGTGATGACAGTCACCAGTAGAAGTTGCATGTATCCCCTTACTTCTGGCCTTCTATCACTCCACTGCCTAGAAACAAAATACAAGACCGGATTAATTCACCACTGAGGGTATGGGTGCTTTGTGATTTTAAAAATTTACGTGATGCCAACAGGTTTTTATTTTTAAACATTTACAACTTGGTAAATGATCTGAAATAGGCAAGTTGCAGCTTACTAGCAATCTCTGTTTGCTTGTTTGGGCCCTTGACACTCATTCTATAAAACACTGTTGTTTTATCATAATGCTGGAGATTGTGGATTGTTTCTTCAAAGCTTGCTGCATTACCAAAAGCGGTTGAAGATCTGTGAATAGATCTTTGCTGAAGAGCTAATGGGGTGTTCAAAAAACATATTCAGATTGCAGCCTAAATGATTTATAGTTTATATGGTTCAACCTAACTCTATAGTTTCCTCTCCATTTTTCATCTCTCTTAAGCCCCTAGCTTAATGTCTTATTTTCTTCCATCTTTCTGTTATCTTTTCCTCTTCTTTTTTCCTTCACTATTATTAGCTTTTGTTTTTTAACTTGTTCTGTTTTATGTTTATTAGAACTTTTGCTTTCTATCTCTTTTCCTGACAATAATATGAAAATTTAAAATTATTTAATGAAAATGTATTTAATGGAAATAATATTACATTAAATAGTAAGTACAATTTTTTAAAATAAAAAATCTATCACTTTTCCTAAAAATATTTTTGTTGTAAGTATTCCTTTATTGCTTTTTTCCTTTCAATAGATTGGTGGCTTTTGGGAGTTTTAAAAAATTGTTCTAGCCCTGGCCGGTTTGGCTCAGCGATTAGAGCATATGCCTGTGGTCCTGAGAGACCTGGGTTCAGTTCCCGCTAAGGGCACGTACCTCGGTTGCAGTTTGTCCCCGGCCCTGGTTGGGTCATATGGGTGGCAACCACTTGATGTGTCCCTTTCACGTTCATGTTTCTCTCTCTCTCCCTCTCTCTCTCTCTCCCCCTCCCTCCCACTCTATCTGAACAAAAAATGGAAAAAATGTCCTCTGGTGAGGATAAAAAAAAATTGTTCTATGAATAGATACCTAACAATTAAAAAGTTTAAACCACAGAAAATGGAGTTTTTCTACTTCTGCATCTTCAAAGTCTGGCTGTTATTTTTGCTTTGAATTCATAATTGTTTTTGACTGAAGAGAAAATGACTTAGGAAGCTTTTACCTTTTGTTTTGGAAACAAAACTTTGTTTTAATGACATTTCATGACCCTATGTACCCTAGTGTGTCTTTCCCACATTTATATTTCTTTTGAACATAATAGTTTCAGCATTTTATAGAATATAGATGGGAAGCAGGAATTACCTACAGGTAATTTCTCTCTTTCCCTTTGAGGTAACAGCTTGTTTTCTAGTTTAGGTGATGTTCATGGCCATTATTCAAGTATTGGTTTTTATTTTCTCTGTTGCATTGCAAGAGAAAATTAAGCCTCTTTCATCTATAGGTTTACTAGTGAGATAAAGGTATTATTAATACTATGCAAAGACTTAAGGAAGTTTTGAGACATAAAGTAACAACTGTATAATGTAGTATATTATAGCCTTTTAGAGCTGGAAGAGGCCTTAGAGATCATCTTGGTCAGGATATACAAGGTATTAATACATCTGTTGGAAAGTGATAGCTAGCTCCTCTGCATCAAGCGATATAATACAAATATAGAACATAAATTGGAAAAGTCCAAAATATAAACCCAGCTGACTTTAATTGTGCTTTTATATTAATGAAATTAATAATTAAAGTTATGATTCATAAATGAAAAGTATATTATTATCTTTAATGTCACAGAATTAATATAATTTCAACATTGGACATCTAAGGATTTAATAAAATTATTTTCATATTCTGTGTTATAGAGTGTTGAATTTGACAAAAATGTTTTGATTAATATTGAACTATTAATTTCAAAATCTATGAATTTAATAATGATTTAATCAAATACTAAATAAAACTGAATTTCTAGTTTAAGCTGCTCGGTGATCATGCTTATTAAAGTTCAGAGGCTCAGCAGTTCCAGTTGGGTCTTTTAGTCATTACTGTGAGTTTTTATGTCTGCTTCTCTTGAAGCTGGGGAGCTATCATTTTCAAATTGGTATTATTAGAGCTTGCTTTGTGCTTTCTACAATGAAATTTTTTAAGTCCATCATTTCTTGAGATTTGTTTTTCTGCCACTCAGTAATATTTAGTTACAGCTCTAGGAGAGACCATATATTGGAAAGGGAATTCTAGTTCTCATGAGGTTTTGCTCAAAGAATATTTTATTCTCTAAAGAACTTGTGATTGAAAATGGTCAGATATATATTTTTCCCCCATACTTTGGGGCTTGGCTGATTATATAATAATAATGATTGCTAACATTAGATAGGATTTTGGAAAGTGCTTTTATTATTGTGCATTGTGGTAAAGTTAATGTTTCTTGATATTATTTTGCTTCAAATAATCTATTAGATTTTCTTTAGAAGGACATGTTTCTGATTTTATAGGCATTTGAAATTATTGGGCTAAAAATATTCTATTCTAAAAAAATTGTTGATTCCTGATATTACTCAGAATAGTAGTATTTATATATGAGCATTGTTTTTGATAATATGAACATTACCTTCTGTCTTTCTTACTGGTCCTTGAAAATTTGATATTATTGAGTAATATTCATCTAATGTGTGGTTTTGATTTGTGTAGTCAAATGTTTATTATATGGCTGGCTTTCTAGATTTATAATATGAGCATAAAGCTTTTTGAAATTTATTCTTATATAAATCATTATTTTGAAAATTCAAACCTCATTTTTGACCTTTGAAAAAGTAAAATGTGCCCTGGCCAGTTTGGCTGTTAGAATGTCGGCCTGTGGACCAGGGAGTCATGGGTTTGATTCTGGTCAAGGGCACGTACCTTGGTTGCGGTTTGATCCCAGGCCCTGGTTGGGGTCCTATGGGAGGCAACCAATCGGTGTGTCTCTCTCACATGACTATTACTCTCTCCCTTTCTTCTACCCTCCCATTCTATCTGAAAATCAGTGGAAAAATATCCTCGGGTGAGGATAAAAAAAAAAGTAAAATGCTATTTTGTGTGTGTGTGTGTGTGTGTGTGTGTGTGTGAGAGAGAGAGAGAGAGAGAAGGGGGTTATGTCAACCCCCCTATTCAGATTGGAAGATAGTATGTACTGAAAACTAATTGTAAAGCTACATAAGGGAGGGTGACATTCATCTATGAGATATTAGGTATCATTAATATGATCAAGGAAAAGCTGCAGGTGGTGATGATGATGAAAGCTAACTAGATCAAATTC